TAAGATATAAAGATTTATTTTTACATGTATCTGATTAATTTTAGTTTTGCATTTTTTTGTTTTATTATTAAAATACTTTACTGTAAGATTTGATTTTCAACCTGCCAATAACTACAACCACACACATACTAAAAATTTGAATCTTAAATAAAATATTTACAGTAAGATTTAACAAATATTAATTTAATTGTTATTTTAACAATTAATAAAGAGATATTAAAAAAAACAACTACTGTTAATACAGACAAATAAAAGAGCCAAACAGCTAATATCTTCAGTTACAAAAAGTTTATACTGAATAATGCATGGAATATTGTCTTGAACTGTTTTGGCTCATCATCAAATTCAAAACTAAAAAAAATGGTTTTACTAAAATATATCAGGTAAGTTAGAATATTTCCATGAATTCATGATTAATTAATATATTTGAATATTTATATTTTTCCCACCTAAGATAATCTGAAAAAAATCACAAGAGTATATATATATATTTCTATGGAATTAATGAATTTTATTTTTAATTTGACATTATTTTTTTATTAGTGTAAATGTTATTTTTAGCATATATACATTTTTTAGTAGATATCCTCTATTTGTCTTTATTTTTTATAATGAGCGGGAATTAAATTTCTCAGTCTGTGCATTCGAGAGACTTAAATAAAATCTGCTCTCTGGCTGTGACTCCCTTTTGTAGAGGAAACCATTGTCTGATCCAACTAAGCAGTCTAAGGCACAATGAATTAGACAGTTTTCCTCTATAAAGAGGACACAGGCACAAACCCTGACAGAGAATACATTTTCTTTATTAAGTCTCTCAAATACACAGGCTGATAGTTGTAATTCACACTGTTAAAAAAAAAGAAAAAGAAAAAATAGTGTGTCTATTCAAACATATGTATCCAATAAAAACAGCATTCACAGTTATATACATCTAAATTTATATATATGTGTGTGTGTGTGTGTGCATGTATGTATGTGTGTATACATGTAAATGCATACACTACTTATTTTTCTGTTTTTAATGAATATGTACAAAAAACTATGAACTTTTGTTAGCATATGTTTATGCAGTAATTAACTTATTTTAACCCATGGCTACTGAAGATTTTATTAAAGCTTGTTAAATCAATAGAAAGATAGTCTTGTTATGAGTCTGCTTTCTTTCTTCCATATAAACTTTTACTGATGAGCATAAAATAATCCATTTCATAAAACTGAATTCTAAGTTACTCTACCTGTGAGACTAAATCATGTAGGAATCTCATAATTCAAACATATGTTTAAACTCTACAGTATTTTGAATTTTGCAATCATAACTTGCAGAGATATTAACCATAAATCCAGAGGACTATCATCTTTGTGGATTTAAATTCTAATACTTATATGAAAGACAAAAAAATTTACAATATTGGATATGATATTAGTTATGAAATATATACTTAAGCATTTCAACTCTTAGAATTTGTATTTTCTCATAACTTATATATAAATGAAAATTCTTGCAAACACTCATCAAATATTTTGCATTGTATTCACTTAATTTTCATAGATTTATATTCATTTGCTAATTTTAGTAAATCTAGTACTCTCCATTTAATATTAACAACATATGTTTACAAAGATTTTATGATTAGCAAAATGATTATGCATTATATACATATTAGTAGCTGCAAAAATCCTAAGAAAACATTGTTGCTTATCAAAAGAAAAGGAATTATTATAAATGCAATTGTCTGCAATTCTCCTGTAAGATGCTTACTTTAAGATTTAATCTAAACTTATTTAGTAATTTCTTGTGTAAATAGTTTAACAAATTAAAAAAATAGACTAATTCAAGGAAAGCTTGAAAGTAAGATATCATGAAGGTAAGAAATATAAATTAAATAATCACATATAAATTGTTCACATTTATAGTACTTGCTTTGTCAGTAACAGATTATATTTCCTGAAAGAAATAGAGAATTCATCACAAAAATAGGAAGAAAATTTAAATGACATGCACATCTAATTCTAAACAATCCCTGTTGTCTCCAGAAGAAATGCAGTCATGCACATAAATTAATTTTTATACTGAAATTTGTACTTGTAAAATGATTTGTTAATCATTATGACACAAGAGATTAAATAAATAATCTCTTTTTTTCACTGCCCCTCACACACTGACACACACACACACACACATATATATATATATATATAGAGAGAGAGAGAGAGAGAGAGAGAGAGAGAGAAAGAGAGAGAGAATATCTGAATAAAAACAGGTACATATTTATTTAATTTGAAATGCTCATTGAGGATGCAAATTATTAAAAAGATGCATAGAACATTATTTACATTATTCGGACTATTGTCCTCATCTTTGTCGCCATATTAATTACAACATTTCAGCTGTTGTACGCTCCAGCCTTCTTCAGGTGGTTGGAATGTCAAACTGAACCCTTTATTTTGCTCACTGCGGTAGACTGTTCTAGTTCAACATGCCATGTTTAATGGATGTCTGTTATCAGTTATCTCCTGTTAATTTCCCTCTGAAAGTTCTCCACTGCCTTAACTGGATATTGAACTCACAGTCTTTGGGTCCTGTCACTAGATTTAACTAACGCCTAAGACCTCATTAGCAATGGTAGCTACAGCAAAGTAAAAAAGGATCCTACAATGAAAACGGAATGCAAATTGTCACAGATACTAATCAAGAACAAGGATCACTTTGCACCTAAGATATATAGGTTGCTATCGCAGAGTTACACCAAGCTACCTCACATATACAGTCTTGGTATTCCACTTAGGCTGATTGTTAGTTGCCAAGGCTCTGTGTGCCACCCTCTAAGTCGCTTCCTTGTAGATATAATTGACCCATTGATCGGAAAGTCTCCTTCCTATGTCTGAAACTACACCCACTTTGTGAAAATAATCAAAGATGCTTCCATCCTATCCAACCAGATGGTGAGCTTGGACGTGATGAGTTTGTTTACCAAGGTACCCATGGAGGAGGCACTCTCAGTAGTCAGAGACAGATTGGCCTCTGACTCATCCCTAGAAGAATGGACCAGCATTCCAATAGATAATCTGATGGAGATGTTAACTTTCTGTACACAAACAACACACTTTGGAATGGGATCACACATATATCCACAGGATGAGGGCTTAGCAATGGGCTCGCCATTATCACCAGCAATGGCGAATATATACATGGAATATTTTGAGGAAATGGCATTAGAATCTATATCTCTAAAGCCAACTCTATGGTTAAGGTACGTAGATGACACCTTCATACTCTGGCCACACCAGGAAGATGTGCAGGTTCTACTGGACCATGTGAACTCAATAAGACCTTCGATACAGTTCACAATGGAGAAAGAGAGTAACAACACACTCCCATTCCTGGATGTTCTAATATCTTGAACAGAGCATGGGTTCAAGACATCTGTATACCGTAAACTGACATTCACTGACAGTACCTCAATTTCAACTCTCACCATCCATACAGCGTAAAGAAAGGGATTGTCCGCTGCTTACAACACTGAGCAAAAGTCATAAGTGGCAATCCAAAGACATTAGATAAAAAATTGGTCAGTATAAGTAGTACCCTATGTAACAACTACCCTGGGTAGATGGCAGCAGCCCCCAAAAATTGGGATAGGTGGGTACAAGAGGAGGACAACAATACTCAGAAAACGGTCTGCCTGTCTTATGTGAAGGGATTATCAGAGAAAATACAAATGATCTGTGGTCCATATAACATCAGGACAACCTTCAAAGCTTGATGACACTTCGCAGATATCTCTCCCGAGTAAGAGGAGAACATGACTAAAGACAGTGTGTATGCTATCCTGTGCAGCTGTGGAAAGAAATATAAAGGGGAGACAGGCCGCCCCCTTAAAGTAAGGCTTCAAGAACACCAGAAAGCTGTAATACGAGGGGAAGTGGAAAAATCAGTCGTGGCTGACCACATATCGAGAGAGAAGGGAGATCATTGCCCTCTGTGGGATCAGGTTGAGATCATAGACAAAGAACACCATTGGAAACTTCGTAAACTTAAGGAATCAGCACATATGCTAGGCCACAAAAATCTCCTGAGCCGACCAAGCATAGAAATGAATACAATATGTGAATCAGTAATAAGGAGTGCCAGAGAAAAGTGATAATAACAGCAAAAATTGCAATATGAGCACCCATAAAAAAATGGTTGCTGAAGACATTAGTTTTATAATACCCAGAAATTCATACACAGATGTCCTCAAGGACACATGGCATAGTGGATAAAGGTGTTAGTAACAGGACCCAAAGAGTGTGAGTTCAATACCTAGTTAAGGCAGTGGAGAATTTTCAGAGGGAAATTGACAGGAGATGTGATAACCGACATCCATAGAACAGTCTACCCCAGCGAAATAAAGGGTTTAGTTCAACATTCCAAGTACAATGTGGCGACAAAGATGAGGAAAGATACAGATCCTTAGAAATGTGTGATTATAATAAAAAAAAATCTCCAATGTCCTTGGAGGATAGCTTACAAAAACAATTTTAAAAATAATGGAACTTGAATTTCTGAATATGAACAAAAGTATCATGAGTGTATCAGGTTAAATCAGCAAACTTAATCATTGAGAAATATTTGTACTTGTATTGGGGATCATATTGTGAATTCAAGATGCTGTAAAATAGATTTCAAATGATCTTGGAGAAGAGCTAGTTTCCTGCTATGAAAAATATTAATAACACTGAAAAATTAATTAAAAATATGACTAATTCATTTTTTCTTTCCTTTGTGGTAGATTAAATTAACATTAGAATACATGGGAAAATTGAAAATGAAGTCATGCTGAACAAAACACTTAAGATAAAAAGGAAGCAATTTTTAATTAAGAAATCCAGAATACAAAAATAAAAAAATGAATGAGTGGAAACTTCCAAAAAATATAAGAAATGAATATGTGTGGCCCATTTCTACAGATTGTGACACTAAATATATAAAAAAAGATAGGAATAAAATGCATAGTTACCATTCTTAGAGCCTCAGCTTCTTCTTCTTCGGGCATCTCTGGAACACCTTTCAATGTGTCCTCATTTTGATTGTTATCAGCTTCTTCCTCAGCATGAAGTGGCATATCACCACCCTGTGATGCCAGGTACATGCTGTTGCGTGATCTATACATCATCGGCTGTTGAGTCATGTCATAGCACTCCATTGGCTGGCCACTGACATCCATAAAACCTTGCGATTTGTTCCAGGAGTTGGCACAAATTAACGCAAAGAAAAAGGAGATCAGAGTTGAAATGCCAACCGTTAAAAAGACCCATTTAAGGCCTGGGATGTGTCCATCTAGAGGTCTTTGGTACTGCAATAAGAATGATGCAGATAGTAAATAGATGAAAAATGGTTCAGGTAATTAGACAGCAAAAGAAAATGAAAATGAAAGAGATCAAGAAAGACTCTTGTTGCAAAGAATAAAATCAGATCAAATCACTTTCAATGAAACAAGTACAAGAGAAAAAAGGAGTATGAATAAAAAGAAATTTGATTCATTTTACAATAAGAAAAAAAGCAGAATTAAAAAAAATTAAAGATGCAGAAGAATTAAAAATGCAAAAGAAATTGGGTCTGGTAAACAAATATTAAGTCAAAGATTGAGTATGTATAAACAAGACAAAGTTTGATTGAAAACTTGAGAGAAAATGAACAAAAATAAGATTAGATGTAACAAAGAAAAATATTTAATAAAGTGTAGAGGAAAAGAGAATACAAGACAGAATTGATTCATTAAAAAATGAATGAAATGATAATTTTATAAATAATTTGCACAGTAAAAACTATTCCATTCAAATCATCTCTTGTTGTTAGTTCTGAAATAGAGTTCAATTTTAATGTTTTGTAAATGATTTAAACTATTATTCAATATAATATAAATTGATAGTTAAAACAGTGTAAGAAAGGAAGTTAATTAAGTATACAATAACAATTCATAGCAAGAGGGTAAGTATGAATTGAATTCTATTTTTGGTGTCTTTTTAAAATAGCTGACATGAAAACTATATAGGGTGACTTAAATCAATGAATCAAAGAACCATCAAAAATTTAATATTAAGTTATGCTAAGTTTAATCCAAGATGAATCTATTATTGAAATTTTATGTAAAAATAAAATCAAAATAATCCACTCAGTGCCTTAATTATAAATCAAACCAATTAAATTTTACATTAAACAAATAATTAAGGAAGTTCATATTTCAGACATTTCACTTTTGAGCTTGAAATTCTTGAAGGTAAACATGCTTGAAACATACACACTTATATTATGCTATATCAACTGATATAATCCTGATGTCATTTTAAACTAACACCTTCCCACTGCCATATATCTAAACTTTAGATAAAACCTATAATACAGTAATACAAAATCTATATAATCATCTCACCCTTCCATTTCCTAATATTAGATCAACAATTCTATGTAAAATTTTCTCTATCTTGAATTGTTTCCAATTGCAGCAACCTAAAAATTTCATCAATATCTGTTTACCATATTGATAACACCCAGTCCTTGATAATTACCAAGATGGTTGAAAGTACTTGAACAAAACAGAAAAATATTAACTTTGAACAGTTTATTCATCATTTCAATCTCAATATAGAACATCTTATTCACAAATTTGAAAAAAATATAATAGAAATTAAATCGATAGACATTGTCACTTGAACTTAACAAAACTTGTTTAAATGAATTCCTGCTGCCTAAATACACCTTATATAAACTATAATTGTAGACTATAATTTTGAAAAGTGAAAACTTCACTGTAATACGAGGAAAAATTTCAAATTTTCATTAGAAATCAAGAAAATGCAAACTTAATGGAAATTGGTAATTATATAATGAAAAAAGAAAATATCAGTTTAAACTGACATCAAAAGGATATGAATTAAAATGAATATATGCATGAATTGATACTGAAGACCAAAGTTAACACTGAATTAAAACTTGGCAAGAAAACTTAAAATGGCAACAAAGAGAAGGAGCAGGAAGGATGGCCAAATTTTCCAAGTGTTGAAATGAATTTTTTAAAAATCAGTTTTACCCTAAGAAAGGCAATAAAGCCACTAAGACACAAGGGGTTTCTGGATGTGAAAGAATTAAAAAGCAGAAACATTACTAAGACATGCCAGCAATAGGAAAGTAATCTAAGTGGATAGATGCATTGAAAAAATATAAGATATTTTTCTGTTTTTATTAATTTAATGTCTGAACACTGAAAAACAAAAAAACAAAACAAAGACTTTTATGAGTTTTTTTCCTGTGAATATATATTCATGTGTGTGTGTATGCATGCATGTATGTATACATACTGTAGTATATGTTTATAATTTCACCTAATGTTACAGATGTACATATAAACTTATAGAATCCACAGAGATGCAAAAGCACATCCAGAATTAAACCCATGCATTAATGTACCATGCATAAATATGTATGCACACTTAAAAATTTACATGCACACATAAGCAATCAACAAATACTGTAAGAAAAATGAATTAAAAAATGTAATTAGAAACATATGTGCATAGTTTCATCAATAAGTTTGTAACCTAATAATAAAAAACATCATTTATTTAACACAAGTATTTATTTTCAACCCATAATCTCCATTTTCTGTAACTTAATTCAATACTTCATATATCAAATTTTGCAGTGAAAATTTCAGATTAAAGTTCACTTAATAGTTGTATCAAACTATGAACCTATGATCCACTCTCATACATGTTTGTATTGAAAAGAGATATAATATTACAATATACAAAATCTCAAAATGCCCACAATCAGGCTTTAATAGTTTTACTACTGTCCAGCACTCCTAAATGGATGAAAAACACAAATTCTTATTGAAAAAAAAATCTTACTGTGGAATAATTTTTCAGTTTATAACATAAAGCTTCAAATTGTAAAGAATTGAAAAACTATATTTGTCAGAAGTAATGATGATAATTTTAAATTCAACATAGCACTATTCAAAACTATTACTCCACACTACAGAGTAATCTCTACTGAGTAAAGCCTAACACAGGGGAGAAAATGACCAAGAATTGCATGTATTCAGTTCCTTGCAGTTGTGGCAGAGAATATAAAGGTGAAACAAGCCGCACCCTAAAAGTAAGACTGGAGGAACATCAAAAAGCCGTAGTGAGAGGTGAGACAATGAAATTGGGCATGGCTGATCATGTATGGAGGGAAAGGTATGGTCATCAGGCCCTGTGGAATGAAGTGAAAATACTGGACAGGTAAGAAACACTGGAGAGTTAGTTGTCTGAAAGAATCGGTGCATATGCAAGGCTATGAGGACCTTCTTAGTAACCATATTGTATTAAAATAAATACATAAAGGGAGCTGCTAATAAAGAAAGACAAGTGACAGATAGTCTTCAACCACAAAAGAAATAGTAATAAAAAATATAGACAGCATCAGCAGTCAAAACATGATAGCCAGCAGTAGCAGCAGTGACAGTGGCAGCCTAATCAGCAGTGAAGTTTAGGTTCAAAGCTCTAAATTTACTCAGGACAATGGTCTAGTGAGTAAAAGCATTGGTTTCTGAATTTGGTGACATAGTGGTTGTGGAACAAGCAAGCAATAAGTGAACAGTGCTAAATAAAAAAAAACAATATCCTTAGACATGAGTAGTAGAATGAGAACACTCTATCCCCGCAGATTAAATAAGGGGTTCAGTTTGGAATTCCCTGTAGGTTACCCAGATTGATATACACATGAGGAAAGCTGTAGGGCAAAATGCCTAAAATGTTGTGATAAAAACAACAAAGATGAGGACAATAGTCCAAATATAAATAGTGTAAATATCACTACTTACAAATCTTTATTAATAAATATGTGGGTATCTACTTGAGACTCAAATATACCCAACAGATATTTAAAGTGATTTTCTTAATGATATAAAAATCAGGAAATATTTTTATTTATTCACTTTTATTTAACTTTCTCTCTATTCTTAGAAGTTCCATTTTTGAAAAATTCTTTCTACTCATTTTTTATTCCCAAGATATTTCTTTCTTTAAAACTGATTATAATTTTTGTTTTTAATCATTTCAACACTAGAGCACAGGGAGTTGTAGGGAGTAAAAGTGTAAGGTAATGAGAAGATTGAGAATAGAGAGGATTGAAGAAAAGACTAAAAATGAACAGTGTTCGAGTCAGAAGATATCGATTGACGTTGCATTTAAATTTGTGAAGATTGTAATTATCAGGGAAGCAAGAAAACAGTAGGGAGTTTCACAGGTGGGAAGTGCAAAAAAAAGAAACTGTTGGAGTAGAAGTGGCAGTTGCATTTAGTTATTTCAACAATAAAGAGACTTAGTTGCCAATCTTGTAACACACTTAAATTTATGTGGTCAGGGCACCAAGGAAAAAATCTTGTCAGTGCAGTTGCCATGAAAATATTTGTAGAAAATACAGGGAAGCCATGTCCCATTGGTGAGAAAGTGACTGAAGTCAAGATGCCTAGTCAGGATCAGTTACATTAGAGATCATTTTTTGGATATTATCAAGAATCTCCAGATGTACAGCAGGAGCACTAGATCAGATTTGGTAACAGTATTCAATGCACCAATGAATAATAGATTTATAAATGTGAAAGATTGATTCTGATGAGGAAAGTTTTCTGGTTCAACAGAGTGGACCATCTTTTCTAGCAGTTGACAAAGGGATAGATTTGGTAAAGACAGTCCACTTGATGTCAGTAGAAAATGTGAAGCAAAGGTCCTCTGCAGTGATTAAATGAAAGCAGTTTTGTTTGGGAGTCATTAAAATTTACAAGACATTTCTTGCTCCAGTTCACAACTGATTGGAGGTTCTTTTCTTTTTCAAGAGCAGTTGCCAGGTTTACTTTGTCAGATCTATTGAATTTGCTACTGAGACAGGAGTAAATGGTAGTGTGTCATTTGCATAAATATCTTGTTAAAACTGATGACATCATGGAGATCATTGATGAAAATCAGAAACAGTGTAGGTCCTAGGATAGAGCCCTGGGGACCCTGTTTGCATGAAAGGATCTGGAATTGAGCCCATTCAACTTGACCTTCATTTCACAATTTTTAGGAACGATTGAATTAAACCAAATATTCATCCTCTGACACCATAGCTGTGGAGCCTGCATAGAAGAACTGCATGCCAAACCCTGTTGAATGCCTTTGAGATATCTAGAGCCACAGCCAGAACTTTGCCATTCTTATCTAGATCTTCATAGACAAATTCAGTGATTGACGTTAGCATGTCAGCAGTAGACCTGACAAAATGGAAGCCATAGTGTTTGTCTGAAAATAGGTTGTGTGAAGTAAGATG